AACACAGATACCTCTTATTGTAGGCCAAGCAGGATTCTGAGTGTCTTCCTCGTATTAACTCATCCGTTACTCCAGACTTCCTTCATGATTCACCTCCTCCGTGCAGTCTGTCTTGATTTCTCAATACCTGACTGGACGCCTTTGCTGATTACTTTTTCCCTACCTGTTCACGTTCCCTCTCTCTTTGCCCCACAGGTGTCCTGGGAGCTTGGCGCATACGGAACACACCAGTTGGACTCCTCTGCTGGCTTCCAGGTGGGTGTGGCGTTTGGATAAGGTTGAGAAAGTTCAGGGTGTTTCCTCCCCATGCTGTCCGAGATCAAGCTGTGTTTGTGGCAGTGGGTGTGTCCCTCCCTGTCTTAGTTTGTGAGGGCTGCGGTGAAGCACTACAGACTCGGTGGCATAACCAACCATTATTTACGCACAGTCTGTGAGACTGGACGCTGGAAACTCAAGATGCAGGTGTGCACAGAGTGCATTTCCTCTGAGGCCTCTGTTCTTGGCTCATTCTCCCGGTGTCCTCACATGGGCTTCCCTCTGTGTCTCTGTGTCCCCACGTCTTCTTCTTGTAAGGACATTAGTGGGATTGGATCCAGGCCACCCCGATGGCCTCATCTGACCTGACTGACCTTCTGAAAGGCCCGATCTCCAAATGCACTCACGTTCTGAGGTGCTGGGAGTCAGGGCTTCATAGGAATTTGGGGAAGGGGGACCCAACTCAGCCCCTAGTGATTCCCACCTACTCTACAGGTGGCCCCTCGGCCGCGGCTCCAGTGGTCACTGGGCTCCAACCACGCTGTTCTTCCTCTACCCCTTCAGGCCCGCGATGGTCACAGCTTCTCACTGTCTGGTCTCCAAGCCCAGGGCTCCTCTGGGTTCTCTCCACCCTGCCATGCTGTTTATGAAGTGACTCTCACTGAAGGTGCTTCCACTGACTGACTGGAGTTTTGTTTGCTGCTGCTGGGACACCTGATGGTGCCTTGGCCGTGAGTACCTTGGGCCACTTTCTTTCTCCCGCCCTGAAGACCTAGGCGTGCAGCTCTGTGCTCCCTGTGGAGATGCAACTTCCTTGGGGTAGAAACCATTCTTGCTCTTTGTACACCCTCAGGACCTTGCCCGGGGTCTGATGTATGTAGAGTGGGTGCCGGGTGTTTGGTTCAATGCCATCACTGACGATGGTTTCTGGCGCCACTCTCCCCAGCACTCTCTCCAGCCTCCCGAGCACTGAGTGTTGTGGACTAGGAAACAGCCCCTGGGGATCTCCTGCTCCCACTTCTTCCCCTACAGTCCTGCTCCGGTTCATCTCATGATGCTCAGAGAGACCTGCGAAGCAAGGCATCCTGACTCAGCCTCAAACTACCTTCAGTTTCTCCTGCTCCTGCTGTGACGGCAACCACCACCTCCCACTTTCCAGCACATCCCCGGACTCCAGCCTTTGTGTGGCTGCTCACGTCCCTCCTCCCACCAGAAGCAGTGGCTGCTCTCCGCACCTCCTGCAGGAATTGAACTCAACCTTCCGGGGGATATGCTCCAAATACCACGAAACCATGGACACCGACCAAACACAAAACAGCTTGGAGCAGGAGTGGGGTTTAAGGTCCTGTTAGTTGCTGGACAGTGGAAAGGTAGGGGAGCCCCAGAGGAGGGAATCTGGACAGCACGTATTTTCTGATTCTGTCACTTTGTGTGGCCGTGAAAAATCACCTAATGCCTCAGTTGCTCAGTGGCTTAGACTAGCGTCTCGTGATCTTCAAGGACCTTTCAAACTCTACAGTTTGATTTTCTTCAACACACGTCAACTTTGACTTGCTGATTTAGCTCATTACCAACCATCCATCTGGCAATGCTGAGTTTTCCTCAAGAAGAAAAGGTTTCCTTTCACGGGCTAAAACGTTCCCAAACCTGTATTCATAGAATTATGCCACTTTTATAGATTTGTAGCCTTTCTAAATTCAAAGGCTTTTCTCAGAAACGGTACTTGTGAGCACCCCATATAAAGGAGCAGGGAAGGCGTGGGGACAGTGACAGGCAGAAATTCACCAAATCAGCTGTGGCTTAGAAGCAGGAGCACAGCCCTACGGCCCTTCCACTTGGCATACGGCGCCTGCATCCCTCCTTACATATGGCCCCTTTGGAGGCGACGCTTCGTAAACCAGAGCTCCAGAACTGACCAAGACAGGCCAATCTTATATTCTTTGCCCTAAACAACAAAAGTTGTTCATCTGGAAACACACAGAAGTATATGTATGTTTGAAATAACTTCACGGAAGTACAGAAAGGGAAGGCTGCTTGTTTTCACGGAAAGGAAGAGCCAGCTGAGCCAGTTCCAAGCATGCCTTCCTCTAAGCTCCCAAAGCAAATGTTACAAATTCAGAGTAGACTTCATGACACGGAAATCATTTACGTGTGGGTCCTTGTTTCCCATGGAGTTATAAAGCAACACTGAGTTAAGAGTGGGGCAGGTTTTCATTTCTGTATCCCCAGTTACTAGCACAATGCCTAGAACATACGAGGTTCTCAATAAATGTTGGTCGAATGAATTAAAAAGGGCCCTTAACGCTTGGAGATAAAGAATGCGCACAGGGCTTGTGAAACCCTGTTATCTGGGGAGCTACTGGGGCTGAGGGACAGTATGGAGGAGGAGACTTAAGAGGGGAAATTAAAAGTGATTAATTACCAATGCATTGATGCACTCAGCCTCTCCATTTTATGAAAATCTAACAACTTTTAGGAGGCTGTCCACCTCCTTTTAAATAAATACTGTTTGAAGCCTTGGGATTGACTCAATTTAATGTTATAAGAAAAAGTTATTAGACTCTCATAGTTATTGTAAGATGTTTTCCAGGGAAAATATTCAAATAGAACCTGATACCTTATTGACTCGGTTGAGGAAAAGATCAAAATGTGTTTTTCTCCATGAAGAAATATTGACATTGAAGTTTCCTCAGCCAGTATTTCCCTTCTGGAAAGCATCAATTGCCCAGTCCAAACCTTGAGTAGAAATTCGTTCCTGCCATGTGTTCCAAGCAGCTGAGGGTGCCTGGCCCTGCGAGGCAATGGGAGGCAGCTGCCCTCCTTCAACCTCTCACACAGGGAATTATTTGTACCTAAAGAGGATGGGGTTTAAATCATAGCTGTCTTTTTCTCGTTAAAGCTAAAGTATATTTCACCAAAATATACCACAGTTATAGGGTTACCAACTGTCCCAGATTGCTCATGACTAAAGGGGTTCCTGGGACACAGAACTTTCAGTTTCAGAATCAGGAAAATCCTGGGCAAACCAGGACACGTTGGTGATCCATAGCACAGAGGCTTTTATAGCACACGGAAGAACCAAATTATGCCCCCTTTTAATGTGGTGACTAAACATTTTAGAAATAAGAAAAAAGTAACCGACACAACTAAAACCATACATTTAAGAAAACAGAAAAAGGCGGCCAAGGGATTACGAATGTTAAGTCCGTGACAGAGTCGCACTTAATCCACAACTAGAAGAAAGCATGTTCTGTTTCCAAGGAGCTGTTCTACGAGCACTTGATCAGACGTCTTACTTCCACGGCCCTGTGATACTCAGATATGTAATGTTACCAGTTAGAATCAACACTCACACGGACTCGGAAGTTCGAGAGTTGCTATTACTAAAAAAACATACTTTTAGACCAAAAAGAAGCTTCGTACCGTGGCTCGGGTAAAACGCCAACAATGCCGAGAGCTTCCTGCCCCTTTGGCTTGGTGGTTATCACAGCAACAAAAACAGTGAAATTCTGAAAGCAAACGTTTATTTTAAATTGTACATATTTTTAAAAGCACCACAGTAAGATGTCCACGTATCTGTCTTACATGTCAGTTCTCTCTCTGCCCGTCACTGCACCTGTGAAGCTGTAAAAACCTCGACAAGCAGGAGGGGAACTGCCATTTAAAAGTTACGTTTTCTGTCTGTAGAGATAAAGATCTCATCTCACCTTTAAGACAGACTGTGGCTTTGCTTGGGAAAAATTACCATCGTGGACGCTTTAATCACATCAGAGGTAAGATAGGTACTGCTTTGTATTTTGGGGAAGGAGGGCAGATAAACTGTTGTCATTTAAGCCAAATATAAATGATTTTAGATTGACACATTGTTCTAGTCTGTTCAGTAATGCGAACTGTGCATGGATGAAACAGGGCAAGCTTAGCCCCAGACCTTTCTACCCCCTATTTTTTGCAAGGGGCATATGAGAGATGAGACAGAAATCTATCCCAGCCTTGTGTGATCATGCTGCAATGGCTTGAGCCTCTTCCCACAGTTGTCCTCATGTTAGTTGTTGTTTGCGGGGTCTGGAGTTGAGGCCCCATGCAGAAAGGGCACACAGGTATGCAGAGAAGGTGAAAAGCACAGGTCAGACTGGGCGCAGTGCTCACATCTGTAATCCCAGCACTTTGGGAGGCCAAGGGGGGTGGATTGCCTGAGCTCAGGAGTTTGAGAGCAGCCTGGGCAACATAGTGAAACCCTGTCTCTACTAAAAATACAAAAAATTAGCAGGGAGTGTTGGCATGCTCCTGTAATCCCAGCTACTGGGGAGACTGAGGCACGAGAATCACTTGAACCCAGGAGGCAGAGGTTGCAGTGAACCAAGACCGTACCACTTCACTCCAGCCTGGGGGACAGAGTGAGACTCTATCTTAAAAAAAAAAAGTGCACAGGTCAACCTTCACTTGAAGGCCGATGGTCACTGGTATTCTCACGAGTAAACGTGATATCCTGGTACCAGGATGTTGCTTCAGATGAGATTGTCTCATCTGGGCAAGGACAGCTCCTCGCCTGCAGGCCAAGTGGTGTTTGGTAAAAACAAAACAAAACAACAAAAAAACAGCAAGGTCTCTGTTGTAAAGAATAGAGAAAACGATTCTGGGTCCATCATCTAGCCTGAGGGGCCCTCGATAAGTGATGATTTTCTCAGAATTCACAGGGTTTTCTTGATGAATAACTAATCAAAAGAATGAAAAATATTAACACATGAAACCCAATGGAGAGTTTATAATGACAGTGTTATATCATGTCATACGAAACGGACTTCCCCTCTCATGGTAAGTGAAATTTCTCATGGGACATTCCATTCTCTCAGGAAAACCCCTGCTCCCTGTAGCCCCCTACCCAGACATTTTTTAGTGTCTTCAGACCCACTTCAATTTCAGTTTTGCATGAAAGAGTGAATAACAAAAACAAACAAAAGCAGGGCAAAGCTCTGCACTGGGGAAGAGCTCAACAGTGACACGCGGCAGGCAGACAGGCAGGCAGAAGCATCTCTGAGGAGGGCCACCCTAGCCCAGTCACTTCTTTGAGCTGGGGCTTCCCTTGCTGTCCTCCCTTCTGTCTTCACTTCTGGACTGCCCCCTGGTCCCTGCAGGCATTTGAAGAAGCAGAAGTGTGCCTCAGGAGGGTGGCTGACGGTGCAGGTGCAGCAAGCACAGATGGTTAGGACTTTCTGTGCAGACCCCTCGGGTCCATTTCCTGCTGTCCACGAGACTGCAGTCCACATGACCATTTTGAACAGGATTTTAAGAGAGTCGGAGACCTCAGAAAGAGTACCACATCCAAGGCAAATGGTAAGACCTTCCGGCCATGTCTCCTTCTGCCCAGGCGAGTTAGGCTGAGAAAGCAATGCCCAAGCTCTGCCTCACAGGAGTCCTGCCAGACACTAATGAAAATGATGATTATTCTCCTGAGATTAAAAAGGCATTCGTGGTTCAGCTTTTGTTAATTGTTTTGGACTGGAGTCATTAACCATAAAATGTTGTTTTTGTTTTGTTTCGTTTTTAAACCATGGAAAGTTTTAAGAGCCTAGTTTGTTGTCCCAGGTAGAGCTTCCTTTGTAGAGACAGGGAAGTACATGGGCCAAGTCACACCATTCCACACATGGAAAATGAATGTAAGCAACTTCCATCATGGCCATGCGTAAGTCAGGCATGGTTTCTTAACCAAAGATCAAAGAACAACATGATGCCAAGAGGCAGAACCACAGAGAGTATTGTGCTCTGCCAAGTACGGCTGTGGCTGCAGACCAAGGGGTGGAGTACAGCAATATGTGGAAGCATTTTGTGCGATGGCTCCCTCCTCTCTCTTCTCTTCTCATCTTCTCTCTCCTCTCTCTTCCCTTCTCATCTTCTCTCTCTCTTTCTCTCTCTCTCTCTCGTCTCATCTTCTCTCTCCTCTCTCTTCTCTTCTCTCTCTCTCACTTCTCATCTTCTCTCTCCTCTCTCTTCTCATCTTCTTTCTCTCTCTCTTCTCTCCCTCTCTCTCGTCTCTCTCTCTCTCTCTCTCTGTTGAGTGTGCCCTATATCTGTTTCAGAAACAAAAGACAACAGGATTCTGGTTTCTCCTAGAGAGCCGTCTCACATGGAAACTACATTGCTCAAGAAAAGGAAACATGAGGAGATGGCACCATTGATGGCGTCTCTGGCATATCAAAGGATGAATTATTTGTGATCCTTATGCCTGGACAAATTCAACAGCCTCCCAGATGTGTTTCTTTCCTAAATGGACAAACATCTACATGGTTCCCCTCACACTAGGAACTATCCCTGCCCTCAGGCAGCTACCATTTGGGGGAAAACAATAGTTGTCCTGAGAATACACAGGCATACATGTTCTGACCTGCAGGCTGATAATGTGACCTCCAAGTTTTAGGAACCAGGGCTCTGTCTTATTTCCCCTTTGCTTGACACTGTTTTATAATCTGCCTGATAACTTCATTCCTGCAAGCCTCTGCCAATCCTCCCAGGAACTCTGTCCACAGACTTTTGTTGACTCCCAACTAAATGCCTGACAACATTTTCCCTTTACCTTTCCCAGATTCTCTGCCCTCCTGCTCACTTACCTGGACATCCATTCCTCTTGCTGCTCTTCCCTGACCCCACACTCTCCAGATATCTGTGCTGAGATCTGAGCCCCCCAAATCTCTTAAGTGAAAGGAAAAAACCATGTTCGTAATCAGAAGACTGCTTGGAAGACTGGAAATTGTGACCTTTGAAGAGCTGAGGTCGTACACCACAGGGGCCCATCCTCATGGTCAGGCTGCTCTGCATGGCCCTGAGAACTCAGGTATTCAACTGGGCCGCCTCTGTCTGGACAGTGCTGGAGAAACAGAGAAAATGTTTTGTGCTTTTGCTTCCATAATTCCAGGTTCCACCTTTTTTCTTCTTTCCACAATTCATCAGATTCTAGCTTTCTTTTACTTTTAGTCATGCTTTGGCTAGATTAGCTCCTCATTTTAGCTTCTTGTTCTGAATTTGTTAATAATGAACTATTGTGGCTTAAGAATTCTGCAGAGGCCGGGCGCGGTGGCTCACGCGTGTAATCCCAGCACTTTTGGGAGGCCGAGACGGGCGGATCCCAAGGTCAGGAGATCGAGACCATCCTGGTTAACATGGTGAAACCCCGTCTCTACTAAAAAATACAAAAAACTAGGCCGGGCGCGGTGGCTCAAGCCTGTAATCCCAGCACTTTGGGAGGCCGAGACGGGCGGATCACGAGGTCAGAAGATCGAGACCATCCTGGCGAACACGGTGAAACCCCGTCTCTACTAAAAAATACAAAAAACTAGCCGGGCGAGGTGGCGGGCACCTGTAGTCCCAGCTACTCAGGAGGCTGAGGCAGGAGAATGGCGGGAACCCGGGAGGCGGAGCTTGTAGTGAGCTGAGATCCGGCCACTGCACTCCAGCCTGGGCGACAGAGCGAGACTCCGTCTCAAAAAAAATAAAAAAAATAAGAATTCTGCAGAGAACTAACATGATCTATTAGTGTAGATTTAGCAGGTTATTGAAGAGAGGGGGTTGGAGACATTTCTGACTGTCATGACTGAGAGGGTGCTACTAGAATGCAATGAGCAGAAGTCAGAGATGCTTCTGAATATTCTGCAGTGCACAGGACAGTCTTCTAGAACAAAAATTTATCCAGCCTCAAAAGTCAGTTTTGCCGAAGTTGAGAAACCCTGGACTGCAATATGTTCAAGAGGCCAATGAAGATTACATAATTACTTCTCTGTTGGGTAGAGGTTAATCTCAATGCTCTGAAATTATCACTAACACCTACAATGATTTGGCTAACTCTAATGGTTGAGCTTCTGTTTGTGGGTTTTTATACACCACCACCTTAAAGTTTAAGGTTACTGCTCACTAAACACACCATTAACCAGTTATCCTTAACCATGTGTAAGTACGGACTCAGCTGTCCTACACACTTTGTAGACCATTCCTCATTGTGCACACATGAAGGCTTTACCTGTTTTGGAGTTGTTGCCAAAATTTGTGATGTTGGTAGTACTGAGAGGAAGAAAATAACAAGAAGAAAAGTGGAAGTAAAAATCTTACGCAGTATGAAAATCCACTGGGCTTGTGATGCCTTAAAATTTTTATGAGTGAGATAAAGCACAAATGAATAAAGATTCTACTTTGGATGTGAAAAATGTCGGCTTTGTTGAAGTTTCCTCTCTTCCTTTCTTTCCATCATCAAGAGCTAGAGAGTGAAAGTTACAGAACTGCAAGACGTGAACATCGGGAATTATTATTATAATAAAGAGAGGTGTTCCAGGGTTAGGGTGGAGGAGAGTACAGGGAGTCTCTTGTGGGAAACTCCCCAACCCCACAAAATCAGTAACTTTTTTTTTTTTTTTTTTGAGACGCAGTCTTGCTCTGTTGCCCACACAGAAGTGCAGTGGCACAGTCTTGGCTCACTGCAGCCTCTGCCTCCTGGGTTCCAGCGATACTCCTGCCTCAGCCTCCCGAGTAGCTGGGATTACAGGCACACCCCACCACGCCTGGCTAATTTTTGTATTTTTAGTAGAGACAGGATTTTGCCATGTTGACCAGGCTGGTCGAGAACTGCTGACCTTAGGTGATCCACCCACCTCGGCCTCCCAAAGTGCTGGGATTGCAGGCGTGAGCCACCATGCCCAGCCAAAACCAATACATTTTTTTAAAAAAATCTTCCTCGTCTGACTTCTGGTGTTAACAGTCTCCTCTTTTCTCATTTAACCAAAAAGAAAAATTTGAGATTTTGATAGCAACTCTGGGCATTTGGACCTTTTAGGACCATACTGAATGCTGATTTTGACTGTAAGGAGGAAGCCATGGCAGGTTCTGAGTTTAGGGGGAATTGCCAAGCACATGGTCCAAGCTGGAGAAATATATCTATAAGAAGAGTATGAATAAGAGAAGAAATATTCCAAGCGGATGACAGAAGAAAAAAATCGGTATGAATTTGTCATTCACGGTCAAGTACCAGTTTATGAACTGGTCGTGTTCTTAAACATTCATCTGACTGTTGGATGAACAGCCCAAGGAGGGCAGAGGGCTGCAGAAGTAATTCATTGGTTGCTGGATAGAAGCTTCAAAAATTCATAGTTTAATGGTCTTGTTTTAAAGAGAGGAAAAAAAAAAAAAGCTAGATCAGAAAAGTTGATCATCTTGCTCAAGACCTCCTTAAGAATCAGAAATAGAGGCTGATTACGGGATTCCCCAGGCAGTCCACTAACTACTCGGTGTTGTCTCTAAGCAGGAAGGCGGTAAAAACAGTTACTTAATGGCAGTGTGTGGCAGAGGGGAAAGCAGGCTGTCCAGGTGACTGAGAAGCAGGCGGGAGAAGAGGAAGTGAAGGCAGTGAAGAAGGAACACGCTCCCAAAACAAGAGACAGAAAGGGCACTCTGGGTCTGGTCCATTCCGCCCACAGAAAACATGCAAGCAGCATACTGAGTGAGGGCTTTCTCCACGGAGGGTTTTGATACCATTTCTTGCCCAGAAGATACGGTGTACAAGCACAGAAATGGCGACAGATGGAGTCTACAAGCTCTTTCCAAACGTTCACATTCCTCAGAACTTCACCTGTTTTCTCGGCCACGATAAATTATTAATTCATTTCACAGATATTTACAAAATCACTATTTTGTGCTAGGTTCTGTCCCAGGCCGCATGGCTGTAGTATTGACTTAGACAACTTTTTTTTTCTTTGTAAATCTGAAAGTTGCTGGCTAGTGAGACAGATAAAAAGAAAGCAAATACATATATTTTCCGATCAATAACACTGAGTAATATGATAGTGACTGGAGGACCCACCTGGAACTGGGTGGTTAGGAAAAGCCTCTTAGGAGAGATGGCATTTGGGCCGATACCTCAGAGATAAGAGGCAGCTATGCAGAGACCTGGGGATCCAGGTGTCTGGATAGGGAGCACAGCCCAGCAAGCCTGACAGGTTCAAGGAACACACAGGAGACCAGCATGTCTGTAACTCGCTCGGCAAGAAGATAAAATGAGGTCAGCAGGAGTGAGCCAGGGCACATCAGATTGATGCAGGTACTCATTCAGCAAATATTTATTAAGCACCTACTATGTTCAGGACATTGTTGAGGATACACACATTAAAAAGAAAAAATACTGGCTCAAGGATTCTGTCCCCGGAGAGAAACTTAAGAATTTACGAACGTTGATAGAATGCCCAGAACAATTCTGCTACAGGTGAGAAATTGATCCGTTCCAGACAGAAGCACGATGCAGACATTCAGGGGCACACATCGTCCAAGGCCGTGGGGTCTGCGGTCAGAGATCCAGCCATCTGCTCCCCCAGCGTAGGGAGGTCAGGCCTCCCGGGGGTGAGTCACGCAGCCCACCTCTCCCCACCCGCGAGCCTTCTCGCTCTCGGTGCACCGGGCAGGGCCGCAGGAAATCCCCCGGCCTAAATCTGTCGCCCTCAGAAAACCCAGGCAGGGGAGCCCCCAGAGACCAGGCCTCTGATTAGCACCTGATTCACGGCGGCAGCCAAGGCAGGGTAGCGACTGCTGGTAACCGGCCCCCGGAGTCGCCCCGGGGGAAAAGGCCAAGGGGCTCTGGGCACCCCCGACCTTGCAGCGGGCTCGAGGCCAGCGCAGCCGCCGGGTCAGGGCAGCGCCTGCGCGTCCGCCAGGCCCCGCCCCCGGTCTCGGGCGCCCCGCGGGCGGCTCGGGCCGCGCACGCGCTGTGGGCTTGGGGCCGCCCGAGAGCCCGAGCCCGAGCCCGAGCCTCCCCCGCCCGGCGGCCGCGAGCCGGGGTCCGCGAAGGCGGAGCGGGAGCCCGACTACAAGTCCCAGGGTGCGGGCGGGCGGACCGAGGAGGGACGCTGGGCCTGCCCGGTGCGCACGGGGCGGGGACCGGCCAGGCGGGACCACTGCCCGGCACAGGCCCCGGGACCCCTGCGCTGCTCCCGCCGGGAAGTTCCAGGCCGCGGACGGAAAGCCCAGCCTTCCGCGCCGGCCTCGGGAGCGCGCCGGGTGGCCCGGCCGGTCCCCGCCGCCGACTTGTGGACACTGCGCGCGCTCAGTCCCGCCCGCGCCGCCTCCCCGCCGCCGCCGCTCCTCCCCGTAACATGCCATAGTGAGCCGCGCGCACACGGCCAGGGCGCTAGGGTTCGCCTTCAGCCACCATGGGGAATGGGATGAACAAGGTAACGTCTCCCCGCGTTCGCGCTGGGTGTGCTCCGCGCTGCAGCCTCCTCTGCGGCGGGTGCCGGCCCCCCGTCCTGGCTGCCCGGCGACTGGAGCCCGGGGCGCCCCTGCCCGCGGGGGGACGGGCGCGGAGGGAGGGGCGGGGCGGCGGCTGCGGATCGGGGTTCGGAGGGTGCCCGCCCCCGCCCTCCCGGCTTCCGGGTGGGCAGCCCGGGCCGCCGCCTGGCAGGTGCGTGTCTGAGCTGGAGCGAGCCGCGCGCTTCGAGAGCGTGGACACTTGTTCCGCCGGGAGATCAGCCGAGTGGATGTGGTTTCTTTTTCCCTCCTCTTCGCTCCCGAACTGCGCTCCTGAGGCGTCACCCCCCACGCGTCGTTAGTAAACGGGCGTCCGCTGTCATTTCCTCCTTCCCCTCAGAGTCTGTGCGGCCGCCCGTGGGCGCAGATGGTTGATCTGTGGACAGAGAAGTTAGCAGAGTCCTCAGCCCCGAGCTGTTTCTAGATGAGTGGGAAGCGGAGGAGAGGTTCGGAGCGGGTTAGGTTGTGTGACTGCGACGGGGGCACCCTGTTGCTGGGGACCTGCCCCACGGGGCCTTCTGGAAAGTCTGCGCTGCTCCCTTCGTCCCGTCCGTGTCTGGGCCCCGCCCTGTGTCCTGCTGGGCCCCGCACCTCGCGTCCCAGCCCGTGGGACCCCTTTCCTGTCCGCGTCCAGATTCCAGCTCCGGCGGCTGGGAGTTGCCGGGGTGTGTCCGTGTGAACCACGAGGTTGAGGGTTTTGTTACTTGGTGCTGGGCTGGTTTCAAGGAAGGAGTCACCAGACTTTGCAGAGCCCACAACAAAGACTGTACCTTTTGGCAGGTCTTTGAACGGTCCTGGATTGGATGAGTCGTCTTTCTGCCTCGCTTTTCCTTTGCGCTCCGCCCACGCGCAGCTCTGCACGCTGTCGGCGTCCACACTGGGTGGGGATGGCAGTGCGGCCGTGTTTTCTTCCGTGTCCCTCAACACGGGGTCGGCAGTGGTTTGGGAGTCTGGGCTGGGGTGTTGCAAATGCGGATCCCCGGTAGGGAAGGGGAGATGCAGTGGGGAGTCAGTCCAGGGAAAACCTAACTTCACGTGCCCGTGTCATGTTTATTGTGTCCTGGTTACTCAGCTTGTGAAAGAACTATTGTGTGTTTGGGGCCTGCATACCAATACTGAGGTATTTTGATAAACAGAATTGTATTCACTTTTTTTTTTTTTTGGCGAGTGATCAAGTTTGGAAACAGACTCTCTCTCTCGGATAAATACCTGTATTATATTCCCATGAGCACTGGAATCCATCGGCACCACGAGCCTTCTGCTTTTTAAATTAAAACAACAATAAAGATGGTCATCGTAAGTTTGTGGGCTCCGTTTGCCTTGCCATTGATGACGGCGGTATCTCAGCTTTCCTTTGGTTATTTCTACAGTTTTTCCCACTGGAGCTGTTCACTCTCCACCGTTTTCAGCATTAAATTTATACTATTTGTGTAATACAATTCAAAAAATATATTTAGGAATACAGATGGTTGCCTAAGGGATCAACGTTATTTTCATGCTTTTCGACAAAAGCAGTAATATTCGTACACTTTCTACCTTTCAAAATGGGTAATAAATTGCTTGACTTTTAATATCTTGTGAATAGAGACTCACAGTGTATAAATGAAGAAATATATGTATAGAGAGATTTAGAGACTTCTGTGCTTCAACGCTTGTTTATTGTGTACATACTATGAGCCAGGTGTGGTGCTAGTGGGTGGGGAGGCAGGAAAAGGGAGTGCGGTGGTAAATGACCCAAAAATCCTTCACAGAACCTTCAGTATAGATCAACACTTGTCCAGCACTGATGTGATGCGAGCCATGTATATAACTTAAAATGTTCCAGGAGCCACATTAAAAAATAAACTGGTGAAATTAATTTTAATAATATAATTTATCTAACAATATATTAAAACTATTGTTTCAACATGTAACCAATATATAAAGTTATTCGTGGAAGATTTCATGTTTTTTACTATGTCTTTGTGAAAGGAAAAATCTCGGGATCCCCAGATCACTTATATATTCAAAGCCTAGCATGTGTTTTATACCTAAATCACGTCTCATTTTGGACTAGCCGCATTTGAAGTACTCAGTAGTCACTGTGGCTGATGGCTGCTGTGTTGCACAACACAGGGTGTGTATGTGTGTGGGAGTGAGAGAGAGAGAGAGAGAGAACACAAGGTGGGGAGGAGTAGAGGCTCCGGAGGATAACACAGGCAATTTCAGGAAAGTGGGGAAAGCAGAAGATGGGATGAAAGTGACCTAGAAGAGGCTTTCAGCCCAGGCCAGGAATCCTGCTGCAGGAACATGTTTCCGTGAGATCAGGAGGAACTACCCCAAATCACAAGGTTCGTTCGTGGCAAAGTAGATTGCTGGAGGCCAGTGACTTAAGAACCTTAACTAGAACTTTTCCATACATTACTGTGTGACTTGGAACGAGGCTTCGTATTTTTCCCATCTGTAAAAAAAGAAGAATGTTGATTTGCAGAATCAGTGGAAGGTGCTACCCCTAGAAATCCTTTTCTAAGAACATTTATAAATATGTGCAATGCCTCGGGAACTGACGTAACTTGGAATGTGTGTGCCCTGAGGTTACTGGGACAAGGTTTCTTTCCAATCTCATACGCATTGGTCATTTTTGGCAAAAGAACATTTCTGGTCTAAACAGTGCAGGCTCCATTCTGACTGCTTTGGGAGAGCAGCTTCTATCATTTCACATCCCCATGATGGCTCTTCTTGTCAGTACATTCCGGTCTCCTGTATGGCAAAATACTGTGCCGATTTCCATTAGGTATACACAGCAGATTATCAGAAGATGGAAGGAAAAAGGCTTTTGTATTCTAGAAAATTAAAGATGAGGAAATGAAGGCAGGACCGGGTGCAGTGGCTCGTGCCTGTAATCACAGCACTTTGGGAGGTTGAGGCAGGTGGACTGCTTGAGTCCAGGAGTTTAAGACCAGCCTGGGCAACATGGCGAAACCCTGTTTCTATCGAAAATACAAACAAACAAACAAACAAAATCAGCTGAGTGTGTGGTGGCTCGCATCTGTAGTCCCAGCTGCTTGGGAGGCTGAGGTGGGAGAATCACCTGAGCCCGGGAAGTCTAGGCTGGAGCGAGTCGTGATTGTACCACAGCACCCCAGCCCTGAGCAGCAGAGCGAGACCCCGTTTCAAAAAAAAAAAAAGGCAACACCATTGTGAACCATTTGTTTTTTTTAACACTTTATAAAATCTCAGCCTCACAATAGCCCTATAAGGTCAAACGACCTTATATTTGCCCAGATTGGGGAATGGAGATTTGGAGAGGTTAGGTAACATAAGGTCCAATGCTAGGCAGGGTGGAACTGGGTTTGGACCCCAGTCTCTACTGATTTTGAGGATAGGAAAAGTCTGTCCTTTGAGCTGGGTGCCAATTCATCCCAAGTCAGTTTAAAAATTCCTAAAAAGTAATTTGAAAAGCTCCTCATAGCTTCGATTACTTGTCAAATAGCCAAAATCACCTCCTCTCTTCCTTCATGTTTGACATTGATAAGGAAGGGGGTAAAAGGCAGCAAAACTAAAACTATTTTGCTATTGTTTTTGTTTGTTTGTGTGTGCAATTCCTAGGTAGATGCCCCACGCTGGCCAAAATTATAATCGCCAGTGAGTTTATGGTGTGTTTTGAGTATGTTACCACGTAGAGTAAGCCACAACGCCATGAAGCAGATCCTGTTATTTCCGTGGCTGTTTTCTCGATGTACACAGAGGTTAGGGAACTGCCAGGGTCACCCAGCTGGTGGGTAGCAGAGCCGGGACTCAAAGCCACAGTGGCTCGGCCGCAATGCAGAGTGCCTCTGAGATAGTCGTCTGCTGAGATGTTCGTCTAGTAAATGTCTCTGTAAGTTTAGGGTTAAGCTAAGCAGGGTGTTGCATGCAAATGTCGTGTTCCTGTGGAGCCTTTGAAAACTCCTGGTTGACTCAAAGTTCTCTCGAGTCTGAACCCTCAAATCTTTTGGGGGAGAGCCTGTAAACAAAACTCCTGTCCTCACTGTCTACTTATTAGTCTTCAGTACTACAATACCCCATTAAAAACAAAACAACGGCTAGTCTCTAGCCAAACATTATGTCAGAGGAGGCTGCCCGAAATGCTTCTCACGTGCCAGCAGTCTTTATCTTGATCAGCCTCAAAGTGGGCTGAAGCCTCGCGTTCTGGGGCAGGATTCGAGGACCCTCTGGTTGGCATCTTGCCCTCCACTGGCTGCCAGGGTTCGTTCAGCTCATCAAGCATCCGGCCTGCCTGCTCTTGTGGCCTCTTCCTTCCTCCCTGCTGTGTGTCCTCTGAAAGCACCCTGCCTGGTGGGAATGGCCGCCGTCCTGTACTTCTCCCTGCCTGGTGGGAATGGCTGCCGTCCCGTACTTCTCCCTGCCTGGTGGGAATGGCCGCCGTCCTGTTCTTCTCCCTGCCTGGTGGGAATGGCTGCCGTCCTGTACTCCCTGCCTGGTGGGAATGGCTGCCATCCCGTACTTCTCCCTGCCTGGTGGGAATGGCCGCCGTCCTGTACTCCCTGCCTGGTGGGAATGGCCGCCGTCCTGTTCTTCTCCCTGCCTGGTGGGAATGGCTGCCGTCCTGTTCTTCTCGGGAAGCCTCTCGTGGTGCTGGGAGGCCTCACTTCAGTGGGTGCGTCTTGTTCCCTTGGGGAGCCCACTGTTGCTGAGAGGGGCCGGCTACCAAAAAGCCTGACCTGGGGAACCTCCGCCTCCCTGCTGCTTCACGGCTGTGATCTTGAACAAGTCACTTAGATGTTTCTCAGTGTCAGGATTGTTTTCCTTCCTGGATTCGTAGATGTGTAGAACTGAAAGACCTTAGGAGGTTAGCTAATCCAATCTCCTCCCTGGCTCTAAAATGAGGGTAATGATTCCTTCCCCAGTTACTACTTGAGTTATTGGGAGAAGCAAATGGGAA